TTTGAGTAAATCAGATGCAATATTGTGACAAATACTGAGAATTCCATTCGTTATTAAAAGTACTGTTTTTGGAATTGAAGTAAATCATTATTATTATTAGTCACCATCCACCAAATTACTTTTTGTAATTTTTTGGTTGATGTGAAATGATGCATATGCCTGTGTAAAAGAAATTTTATAACGTGTTTCTACATGTATTTAATGTTTTGTGTTTAAGCGTTTTCTCCAATCCGGTCAAACTTAATTGTAACTGAATCATGGTTCATCCCACCAACGCAAACCAACAGATTCAGTCAATTTTTGATTGGTTAGTGTAAGTAGCCAATGAAACAAGTAGTGTCATGTGTAAATGGTATAAATAGTCGAAAAACATTAACCATCAGTATCAATTTAGACGGTGACTATTCAGCACATAGTGTGGGTGAGTTTCACTGATATAATTATTTTAATGATATCCTGTTTAATATGTATTTACCGTTTGAGAGGGATTCACATTCTCGCTACCGAAAAACACAATATATGTATGAATGTTGCAGAGATTGTGTCTGGATAGTCTCTTCGGCCAATATAGGACTGGTTTGCTATTAAAAGTGTTCTCTGAGCTGGTTGGTTTAGTCGCGAAGCTTTCGTCGTCCTTCCGGACAACATCTTCAGCGCCATATTTAGCAAAGAGTGAAATGATTTAAATTTCTTCATGCGTGACGTAATTGCGTCTCCTGGTTACTATCTTCACATATGTATTGACCACTTTCTATTGACTAGGATTTTAAACTTTTTGGTCACCTGATATAGGACTGGACCAAGCATCTAATCTGTAATCTGTGCATTTGTGTGGAATTGCAGAACCACATAGACGAAGTCGCTTATGCTGTTCTATGATTGATATGTTTGTAATTTTGTAGCCCTGTCTGTTCATTGTGAGATTCCTTTTGATGCCTTTTCTTGAAAATAATGTTCAAATTGTATGCAGTTTCTGAGGGATTTGTCAAGTGGTATTACTCTAGAAACGTCAATTGAGTGTGTCATCGCCGCATATTCCATCTTCGTTAATTCATGCTACTGATTTTGGTGTTCTCTAGAAAAAGCAGTTAGCAAATTAGGTTGTCATTTCTACCTAGTGGAGACACGAGACACAATATAGGTCAGATTATTGCTGAATTAGATTCTTCAGTTCATAGTCTGCAATAGACTGATCAACGGTTGACATCACATCTCTAAATTTAAGTCCTCAAGTTGTAAGAACAGAAGACAAGGGCCAGGCAACAGAACGTTTATTACGGAAAACCAACACATATTTTTTTTAATTTTTGATTTACAGCTTGATTCCACACCGTATTTTCAGTACAAGTATGGAATTTTCAGCATGGATATCGGTTAGCCCAAATTCAGGCCTACCATAGATATCGGGTGTGCGCCGGCAGGGGATCGAACCCCGGACCATGTGCATGGTCGGCGAGAGTCCTAACCACTGTGCCACCGACGCATATTCATAGATTTTTATGTACATTTTTGTAGGTTAATGTTAGTTGAAATTACAGTCTGTTGATTGGTTGTTTCTCACACAAAGTTAACCTTGCATCTCTTGTGGCTGTGTCAGTTCATCTATATGTTAACTGTATTCGCCTGTTCATCTTGACCTTGACCTCAATTACTGTCAACCAATTGGCTAGTAGATAGCTCTCACCACAAAGTAGTTAGATTCGCATTTGAGTTGGTAGTAGTAGTGATCCAAATGGAATAATTGGAGACATACATTTTCCGGGGGCAGCAATGAAAATCTGTTTCCTCAAATGTTTTCTGTAGACTTCTATTTAACTTCGTAATGAAATCATTTATCCCCTTCCGAGTGACATTAGTGGCATGCGTCTCAAGTGGTGTTCATTCATCGCTAGATAATCCTTGAAGATTTGTGGCCGCTGTGCAAGACACTCTCTGAGTGTGTAAGTGTGCAGATGGGTAGCAAGTTATATGGTTTCGTCTGAAGTAGATGTTCCACTCTACTCTATACTAGATGTGATAAATTCTTCACATTACTCAGTCACCAAGTGGCTCGTAGAGACTCAAGGACTAGTGAAGTTGAAGCTGTTGGGGTACAATATATTGCCTATATATTTGTTTAAATGTAGTCAGTGACCTTTCTATCTCACCTGTCCATCCAGGTGAATTACAAGAAGGAGTCATTCTTGAATATTCAAACAAGCTGATAATGTGGCAGATTGTTTCTAATCAGCTTTAACTAGGCTTGTTTAAACGTAGGGGTATTGTTTTCGCTGCTGGTGTTGTTCTGATTGCCAAATTCTTGTTTTCCTGATGCTAAGAGGAGCAACCCAAAAGATCGCCCTTATGTTCAATAGATACTTATGTACCGACCCGCTTCTCGGGCATGAGCCTAGCAATCGCACTCTGTATACAAAGCTGCTACAGAAACTTCAGTACGATGAGTCTCTTTGAGACAAAAGTGAAAGTCTGAGTGAGGACATGGAACGTCCGCACCACGTACAAGACTAGAAAAGCAAATGAGCTGAAAATATATAAAAATTTAAGTACTGAGAATATGCGAAAGCAGATGGAATGGGAGTGGATTCACACAAGTGTCAATGGGTGGGTCACTGATCTGCTCCAGTCACTCAAAAGATCCGCACTGTAACATCCTTAAAACAGTGTGGAGAAAAAACTGCATGGATATAAACGTAACTGGTAGTGAGACAGACAGATCATCAGCGTGTCAAGCAAACTTGACTCTTTCTAAAGGGTTCAAGTCATGCGAGATGAAATGTGCTACATTAGGAAAATGTCTAACCTCCAACCTGGTCTTCCTGTTGGAAAAATGAGCGGTTCAAGTACACATTCCAAACTAGATCAACATCAGATTTACAGTGATTCCAGTTGTGTTAGCGAAAATTCACACGCATGTGAAATTACAATCAAATAAGAAAGACAAGATAACGATTTCCAATAAGGATACGTCTTGGAGAGTCACCGTATCAGTGGCTCAACTCCGTCCGCCAGCGTCACATCTCAGCACCTGGTTGGAACAGGTGACAGTATCAACATACTGACATGTGTTACGGTGATGTTGAACAGACAAATCATTCCAAGATGAATTGAAATACCAGCTGCTGTCGTCTTTGAATTATTCAAGCCTGAATTGTCTTCAGAAAAAGAAGACTGCTGTCAGCTTATCACTAACTTTGTAAGCGAACATTGTTTCAACTCAACTCAATGATCTCGTGGTAGTAGTATTAGGAGTAGTTGCAGTCAGTCCGCATCGCAGTCAGTGTCAGTGAGTAATACACGAACCGTGAAACCTGCGTTACTTAATTCAACCTCAATAGATTTCCTGTGAACAATTTTAGCTACATCACGCAACTCAGTCAGACCCACGCATGCAGTATGGACGAATACATTGATGTTCCTCAAATGAAGTGTGTAAGATTATGGAGAGAAGGTGATTGAGGCAGGGAGACTTGTCATTCCTAATAAAGTCTGTTTTACAATATGAAATTAACGTTTTTTCATTCTTTTTGCCTACTTATCACATAATCTCACACCATTTCCAACTTCTATATATCCTATGAGCTATTACATTTGTGACACTCACTGTTCTACCACTTCACACTGAACGATAATTATGACATAAAATTCTGTGACTTTAAATTTCATTTAATACTTTTGTTGCTATTACCTTATGTATACACACGCATGACTGAATTCCCTCACCGCATATAATTTTGCAGAAAGCATTTCATATGTGACTGCTTAGCTTGATAATAAATTCGTTGTTGAAAAGAGTTTCTCCGATGAATCACCTGTTTTGCGTCTTATTTTAGGTGAATTAATGAACTGCGAATAGTATTCAGGTAGATAACAAAACTGATTGTTATACTTGGAATGTCGAATTCATGGAGAGTTGACATTCATTCGTTCGATACTAAAATACAAGTTGCACTGAATGAGTGTTCAGCCCTTTTCGAAAGTAAGCACTCATAACCCGACAATGAGTTGAACGCACTACGTCCAGGTTACCCAGTGAGCGCGTAACAATTCTATCTGTAGACAAGCTTCAATTAGGTCGGAACACCTGTCCAGCTTGACATTGTTCTCATCGATCGGTTAATGAACGAAATTTGGCTTGGAATCATCAGTAAAGTCCTTCTTGAAGATAATCGAAATTTGTATAGATCCTCTCTGATGAGGCAGTAGATTTACGATAAACAAGACACCTTGTTATGTCTCATTGTGTATTGCGCCTTTTTGTTTGTTGTATGATTGAATATCGAATATGATTAATGTAGAGGTTTGATATGCTTGTGGTTTGTTCTAGTGGTTTGAGTTATTGATTTGTTTAAGATAGCAGTCCGAGTGGGTGTAGGTCACCTCCATCATGCGATTTTGACGTACACCGGAGGATTTATCACAATGACAATAATAATTATGTATACTGTGAAGAATACTCTAACGAAAGCAGTATGCTATCGACGGCTTCGCTCAGTTAGGGGAATCTCACCTATGCATAGAAAGAGAACTTATTTGACCATTCCAACTATCATGAGAATTAACTTGTTGCTTCCTGTCAACCTGATTCCCATTTCTTTGTTGGTTTGTTTGCTCTTATACCTCTTTTATTTCTATACAGCTCATTCTCACATAATTCCTCACTTGCCTTCGTTTCAATGTGCATCGTGATCACGACTTTCTTAATCATTGAATTATTGATCTTGATACATCACTCGAATACAGTTGGTCAACTCCTTCGATGCATTCACAACAACTGTGATCGTGACAGCTGATCAATTCTGTTGCTATCGTCTTTCATGAAAACAGAATTCTGTATAAATGTGATTGTAAATCGGGAGCGGAAAAGTGAATCCTCCGAGAAGCGCTAATCAGCACTTCCATATTCTAAATGTCTCTTCATGAAAAAAGACAACTCGACATGAATTAGTCATGCAGCGCTGGAATCAGTCATTCAATGACTAACTCAACATCAAAGAACACTTCTCGTGTTTTATTAAGAAGAAAAGACTTTTTGAATATGCATTTATTCGAAAAGACCTAATCTACAGAAAGAGAAGCGTGTACGTTTTTAAAAATATTTAAGCAAAGCATTTGAATGAGCAAAGTTGAAGCTATTGTTCAGTTATGCACTGAGTATGGAGTGTTATTTTGCATTTTTCAGTGCAGATCCAATGGGAATTTGCACAGCCATCCATTACTTTTCCTTGTTAAAAAGTACTCGATCAGGTCTGACCCTTGCGTATGGATACACATGCCACGTATCACAGTCTCTGTAGAAAGACGGAGGAAAATAAAATGAGAATCAAGTTATGAATACACATCGGAATCAGTTTTGAAAGATTTAATGTTTAATATTGGAATTTTTAGTAGATGGAGTTATATTTCTACAGTAAGAATCATTTGTGTTGGTGTCTGTTGATAAAGCATCAACTCTAGTGATGTTTGTCCCGCACAGAAGTGAATACGTCTGAGACAGAGAAGAACACGTCGACAAACGAATGTGCACAAAGGAAAGGAGATGAGTTGGACACATGGAGTGAGGACCGCAGAGTGAAATAGACTACACTTCGGATCATCATTGGATACACCTTCCTTGAATTTTAAAAGGCCCTTGACAGAGTCGATTGAGAGGTGATATGCCAAATACTTCGCTACTACCAAGGAGTGTCGCTAACAATTAAACACCTCATCCAAAAGTTGAACGATAGTGCTGCATGTCAAGTAATCTATAACAGGAAGCTCATGGAATCCTTCGAGGCACTGAATATGGAAGTAAGATAGGGTTGCCTACTATCTTTAATGATTTTCCTGATTCCGGTGTACTGGATTATGCAACAGAGAACGATCAGCGAGGAAACAGGTATAAAATGGACCTACACAGAAAATGTGGAGGATTCGGACTTCGCCGATGATATATGTGTGATTTACCACAAACTGGAAGATATGCAAGTGAAAAGCAACAAGTTGGCAGCAGAAGCATCCAAGGACGGTAGGTCTTCAGGTGAACATAGCAAAAACAGAGGTGATGCAGATTTCTGGCCAACAGCAACAAAAACAGACAACAATCAGCCAGCATGAATGGGAGAAATCAGAAAGATGCAACCTCCTTCACCTATCGACCTGGCAAGCATCGTTTCAACTACACGCGGAACTAACGATGATATCCAATCGAGGAAGCAATCAAGAAAGCAAGGCAAGCTTCCATTTCTCTCAAGTCTGTGTGAAGATCTACAGCACTCACCATGAAAAATAAGATCCCGATCTTCAGCTCCGATGTGAAGTCAGTACTACTATGCGGATCAGAGACTTGGCGCGTCACGAAGTTCACTCCGAACAAACTACAGACTTCGATCATTAGCTGCCATCGCTCAACACTACACAAGATCAGATGGTCAGAAGAGATCAGCAAACAAGGTGGGACCTCTGTGAACAAACCAACCAGGAACCGATTATGCAAAATATATGCAGGAAGTAATGGAGGTGGATTGGTTAGACTCTTAGAAAACCGACAAGTGACAACGCACACCCGGCAATTGCTCTAGTGGAACCCGAACGGGAAGAGAAGAGTCTGTCTCAGTGCAAATGTGAGTTGAACAATGAATAAAAGTGGGCAGAATACATCAATTGATAAATCAGTTAGATGAAATATTTCCCTAGAAATCAACAAATTGTAAGACGACTAGCAGAGATTCAAATAGATGGAAGCGGATACAAGTTCAGTTTTCTTCCTTTCACAGTGCCGTCAGTAATAATAAGAAGAATCAGTCTGCTCGAGTCCTGCTCACTGAAATCAGCAAACTCTATGACATTTAGGTGGATTCGGTTTTAGACAATTTTCGGTGAGACTATTTGTTAACTTCAGATAGGAATCTATTCAGGTGAGAAGAATGCAATGTAGAAGGCACTGGGATGGAGGTTGTTACTTCATCGGCGTAATGAGGGAAATTAGCCTCCGGAGAATATGTAAGATCATGCAAAGCTAAGATAGAAATTGAGAATGTGCAGCGCTTCAAGAAATATCAGTTCCAGTTAGAAACGCCCTTGGATGCTGTAGATTAAAAGCAATATTTTGTTTTCTACCGAATACACTGAGCTCTGCAGAAGCAACTTAATCCACAAACACACATCTCAATTAATTCTATCACTACTGATCTGGTTGTTAGTATTGCTATTATCACCTATTAAGTAAATTCGTTCACGAGAATTACATGAGGCATATACTATACACACACAGGACAACAACGACAGAAACAGGCCTCTGTTTTCTATAGAATAGAAGGCTCTTTCGTAAACGTACTTGGCATTCTTGACAATTATGTGAGCATATTTATGTCATCATTATCAAGTAATTTTGATGTAATTTTTATCAAACAGTTTCTGAACAAACATATATCACTTATGAAAGAAGACTCACAAAGAACCGTTACGAGTTCCTTTTTTCGTTTCCTCCTCATCAATTAGTGGTCCGCTCATGTCAACCATCCATACACAGCCAGTAGAATTAACTGCAACTGTGTAATTATCATAGAAAGAAAACTGGACCGCCCCAAAATCAACAGTGATTATTCCTTAAAATGGATAAACAAAGACACATTTTAATGGTTTACAGGAAATGTTTGAATTCACTTCAAGTAGACCTAGTTCATGAACAAAGTGAAATAATAATGTGATGATGAGAATTTGAAAGTCATAGGTTTATATCTCGCAGTAATGTAGACTTTTGTTCCACCCACAATCTTCACCCATTTTATGTCAGTAGACGTCTGTTAGTCCATGGCTCTTCAGTGAATATCTGAACATTTGGCAAAGTAAAGATCAACACTGTGAAGTGTGATTCTTATCTGCAGGTTTACAGAACTGAGGACACATTAAATAGTGGGGAATTATCCTGAATATAGATCAATAAACTGTTTTGGAGTGGACTCAACTAAAGAACATCCAGCTAGATGATACCTACGAGTTTAGAGTGACCAGGCATGCTAGTTGTCCAGTCAGTGACCGGGACAACATCTAATAAACCGTCAATTCTAACTCATTTTTCAATTCGTAACAGATAGCGTTACTGCTGGGCAATATAGCCGTTGAGAATCTTGCATCATTCTGAAGTTGGTGAACACTGCTTGTTACGACTTCCCAGTAACACTTCAGAGAGAAATTCACGACTGAACTCTGTTGGTCATTAAACTCGAAATCAATGGAGTCGCTGCACAGCTACACCTGAGAATTCAAATAAATTTAGTGATCCTAGGATTACTATCCCCACTCCTGTCAGCGTTCTTCAGTTGTTGAGAAAATTTTACTATGCTTCACTTTTCCTTGAGTAAATTAGCCATACTTGTCTTAATAACTAAGTAACTTAAACACTACAACTACGCCCAGTTTTTATGTGATGTTTGTTTCTGCAATGAATCAACGTATTTAGTTTGACCATGGTTGGATTTCAGTTAGAAGACAGAAGGAAACCAGCAAGGCCTACTTAACAGTTAGCTGTTTTATGGTCGACTTTTGGCCGATCATCAATGCGCACACAGAACAATTTGAAGATAGGTTGGGATAAATTAGAATTCATGGTAGATTGAGCCGGGCTACGTTGTCTGAATGAAACCAGAAACTTCTAGGTGACGAGATGATCTCAGTGAATATTCATTTGCTAGAACAGAATCCAGTGGCCTATGAATTCGCACTTTTGCTTATTGGTAATAAATTGCGCCAGCATTATCCGATCTCATCATCAGTGAGTATATGTTCTTGATGTGGTTGTGTTCTCTGAGCTGGATAGTTAATTTGCGAAGCTTTCATCGCCCCAATCAGGCGACATCTTCAGCGCATACTTCTATTTGAAGTGAGCTTTCAGATTTCTCCACGAGTTTATTAATCATCTCTCCTGGCGACCTTGGACGTGATTGGTTGTTTTTGTGTGTTTTCACACCTTCTAGGCTACTTGTATTGGAACTGATTGTTTCTTTGACTTGAAATTTGACTCTTTGTGTGTGAGGTTTCTTTCTTATCGGTTGATAAATTTTGTCTATCTCGATGTGACTATTGATTGATGATTCAGTGGAATACCAGGCGGGCTTCTAAAAATTCTCTAGCGTTTTTGTTGTTTACTCTGTCTAATATTTGAACGTTGTCCCAGTCGAATTGATGTCCGTGGTTGTCTGTATGTAGTGATATGAGGGAGTGGATGTCATGTCTTTTGGCGGCTAGCTTATGTTCGTGGATACGAAGACGAAAGGGACGTCCACTTTGGCCAATGTAGTGTTTTTCGCAGTGATGAAAGCTTCGAAAATTAACTATCCAGCTCAGAGAACACAACCACATCAAAATCATCCTCCTGAGCTACAAATCTTCTCTATCATATCTAAATCTTACGAGCGAGTATATGTTCTCACAGCGGTCAGGAACTGTCAGGCATGGAATTCCAGGCAACTTCATCCTGCAATCAGTCAGTCAGTCACCAGTGAGGAGTATCATAATTTACAGGGGTGATTTGTCAGTGGGTGAAATCATCATAACTTCAGTTATTTACACAGAGAATAAATTTGACTTACCTGATTCATCAAGTGTGAAGCCAAATTGATATTCTCCTGATTCACTCTCTTCAATATTGACAATGCACAGACTAATGAGAAGGATAAGGTTCAATTTCGTCCTCTGGGACACCATTTTACTAAAATAAAATAAACAGTTGGAAAAACAGTGACATTCAATTTGATGCAATTTGAAATGGATGACAGTGAGTGACTTTTACAGTTGCTTTGCATTCCGAGTGAGACATACAGATTCGAAAGCACATCTCACAATTTCGTCTTCTCTAGAGTCCTCTGCAGTGTAGCCAGATGATTACATGTTATCTCCCATCTTCTCCAGTCAGCACGATCGCAATAATTGCATCGTCAATTCTGCACAGTCCAACGAGGTGAAATTGAAACACAGTTTCATTTGGTAACCGAAATGATCAATAAATCAAAAAGGCAGGAGCATATGTGCACGACCCCGTATACTAGTGACTGATTGAGATGGATAGTTGTATGGCACAAAAAGTCGCACACAAACACAGGCAAACATCACCCAGTAGTGCTTGCCAGCTAGATTAATATGATCCTAACACGCACAGATCGTTAGCCTCAGTCACGCAGTGGCGAGCCACCTAGCATGGTGGCCACATTGCAAACATAACTGATAGAATTCAGTCTGCACCGAAGATAGGACTAGACACATTACACTAGTTTCTGACTAAGGTGCAATCAAAAATATCCAATACAGTCCTACAAGAGGTCAGTCGCGAGCCTGAATAGCTCAGTGGTAACGTCTCTGACTGCAGTACTCACTGGGTGACGCAGGTTCGAATCTCAGAAGGGACATAAGTTCCTTCAAGGTTGCAGATACGCCTTGCTGATGAGTACCAACTAGCACGAAAACTAGGTCCAAGGCTTCCTGCCGATTGCCTCCAACCATCTAATACCCATAATAATAATTATAATAATAATAACGACATCAACAATAAGGAATCTAAATAATCAGTAGTAATTCGATACAAGAAAGGAACCTCGTAAACCTTACGCTGAATTATTAACAGGGCAGGAGTGAAAGTGTCTGGAATTCAACCCCCAAAAAAACTGAATTAGGAACAAGATTTGTCGGTTAAAGAATCCTGTGCGGCCTTTAAAACAAAACAATTTAGTTTATCTAATACCCTGCAATGATTGTCAAGCCAAATACATAGGTCAAACTAGTAGAACAACGGCACTCAGACTAGCTGAATATGAAACACTGGCAAAATCTAGACTGCTTGACGCGGATAAGAGAAGAAATCTGGAGTATAGTTCAACTATCGCAACACTCACTATATGCAGTTACACACAACCATACAATAGGATGGATGGGATAGGATGACAGTTTCAAAATCTAATGTCACAGGTTGAATGGAGGCAGAGATTGATAGATAACACAAGCTTTGTTTATCGAATCAACTGCAAATACATGTAATATGAATGATTCCACATCTGTCCACTCAGACATCTGGAAAATTCTACTACCCCAACGACGACAAATAGGAGAAGACAAAGAAAACTCTAAAACTCAAGTTTCAAGATCGTGTGATTGTAATTGATGAAATGATTATGAACAGTAATAAATATTGTTCCAAACCTTGTCATCCAGTAAATAATACTGTTTCACTGACTGTGTGATATATCTAATAAACAAACTAATGTGGAATCAACCACAGAACATTATAAGTGACATCGTTTATGTGGTTCTAAAATTTCACGCGAATGTACAAATTTCACAAGGTGTGTTAATTTCTGGCTTGTAACTGCCCAACACTGGGAATGATAACTTGTAGCTTACGAACGAGCCGGTCTAGATGCATGGTCCAGTCCTTCACTGGTCCAAGACACTGTCCAGACACAATCTCTGCAACATTCATACGTATATTGTGTTTTTCGGTAACGAGAATGTGAATCCCTCTCAAACATTAATTACATATTAAACAGCATATCATAAAAATAATTATACCAGTGAAACTCACCCACACTATGTGCTGAATAGTCACTATCTGACTTGATACTGATGGTATATTTTTTCGACTATTTATACCATTTACACATGACACTACTTGTTTCATTGGCTACTTACACTAACCAATCAAAATTTGATTGAATCTGTTGGTTTGCGTTGGTGGGATGAAACATAATTCAACTAGATTTGGATTTCACCGGATTGGAGAAAACGCTTAAACACAAAACAGTGAAGACATTTAGAAACATACGTTAAAAAATTTCTTTTACACAGACATATCCACTATTTCACATCATTTCAACTTAGTATTACAAAAATTAATTTGGTGGATGGTGACTAGCCGTAGAATCGACGATGTGCTTGATGCACTTTGCACTAAAGGTGGTGTTAGTCGTGGCCTGATTGTTCTAGTGGACAATGCATTCACCTTTGAAACGAGGGGTAATAATGTTGAAGTCTTAATTGGGACAGCAACACAAACTTGCATATATAGGCGATGAGTCCTGAATAGGGTAAATTGACCATTGTTGAATATGCAAGCATTGGCAGTATGCAATTAGACGTCGTGGGTAATATGTCATTGAATCGGAACTCACTGGACGAAGGGTATAGAAAAAAAGCCTTTTTTGTCACCCGAGCAAAATTACTGCCCGTATTCACACCACTGTTGGAATTGTTTTGTTCACACATTTATGATTTGTGCTCATATATATAGTTCATTATTTTTGCTCATTCATGTTTTTTGTATTCAGAATTATTTACCACGTTCATTCATGTTTTTGTATTCAGAATTCTATTGCAAGTTGTTGATAGTTGTACTGAGTCACCCTTGTTACATATATCCGGTGTGACTTTAATGAATATCGATTCTGTTATTAGTAGTCTTTCTTTCCATTTGTTCATGTTAGTTTTAGAATAAACACATTGTTCCAATCGATATTGTGGTTTTTGTCCCATGCATATGCAGCTATCGATGAATTTTTTTCAAGATTCTTGTAGGCTTGTGTTCTTGTTGGTTGACCTTTAGTTAGGCAGGCGTTTATGTTCATTCAATCTTATTTTGAGTGATCTGGATGTTCGCCCCACATATTTAGTCGGACAGTCAGCACAAGATATCTGTTTGTAAATCAAGTTGTTTTTATCCATCATTTTTATGGAATCTTTCAGTTGATTTATTTTATTTTTAATTAGATTTGTGGATTTAAAAGTTGTGCGAATGCCGATATTTTTGAGGTTTCTTTGAATCGCCTCTGATGTGCCATTTTTATATGGTATTGTGACTGTCTGTTTGCATTCTTCCATCTTGTTATTCTCCGGTTTTACTCTCTTTTTTCTCCTTTTTATATTATCTTTTATAAATTCTTTTGGGTACGGTAGTATTGAGAGTGTAGTGAATGCACCTCCGTAGTGATGAATACTAACTCAACTCGAAGTACATTCACATGACTACCTGCTTTTCTGATGTCATCTTTTTCACATGAAATCTGATCCTATTCTACAGATGAGAAGAGTGTTTCAAAAACATGATTGTGCATGTAAGCAGAGTCTGAGCAAAGTACTCGACTTCATGTTCACCACTCATTGGCACATGAATTTACATGACACACGGAAGATGTCATTTCACATTAAATCCGAGGTTGACAAAACTGATTTTAACTGATGCCATCACGACTTAATCCACCAAGTCTTCGGATTCACATCACTACTTGTAGAGGAAGCCTCGTTGGCCACTAGCAGATGCCTTAAGAATGGAACAATCTGAAGTCTCCTACTTGAAAGAAAATTGTGAATCTTCATTATTAATAATTATAATAATAATTTGCTTTATTCCAAAAACAGTACTAATGATACAGCAAGGAATTTTCAGCATTCAGTACAATATTGCATCCAATTTACTCAAAAACGACAAAAAGAACAAACAAAAAATATACCAATATCATTAGTGAATACTATATCCAGTGTTTTTCCTAGACGGGTAGCAAAGTAAAGAATGTTGTCATGACCAAGTGATATAAGGAAGGAGTGATCGCATGAGTTAAAATCGCCAGTCACTATTGATAAACAGTTCTCGTAGCAGGCTGCAGCAGAAGCGGTGAATTCATCTGCGAACATAGATAAATCCGATATGGTACAGCCAGGAGAGACATAAACATTAGAAATATAAATGAATTTGTATTTTGACAAGTCTTTTTTGGGCGACATCTCACAGTGATGCAATCAATGTAGTCATTCGAGAATTTGAAACAAACTTTGTTAGAAATGGACCATTTTGAGTGAATAAAAGTTGCGACCCCTCCGCCACATTTTTTCTTGGAACAAACACGGTCTTGTCAGAATACATTAAAATCATTTAAAGACACTATATTGTCATCATACGAGTCATGGAGCCAGGTTTCTTGTAGAGTGACAATACCAGTATTGTGATAAGTTTTGGACAACAACAGGAACTGAAAATCCAGAATTTTGTTAGGCAGGGGCCGGCAGTTGGTACTAATGATAACCGGAACAGTGGTTTGATGAATGGGAGTAGATTTTAAAGCACGTTGCCAACCACCATGGTGCTTTTTCTTGAGTTTATTGCAAATATGAAAGTTTTTAGGTTTTAAGTATTTTATTTAATCCCGAGAGTGAATGATACGATTAGAATGCATAATTTTAAATGTAAACATCAACAAAATATCAGTAACTAGATGCAAAATGTACATGGAATATGGTAGCCCAAAATTTTCAAGCAGGCCGCCAAGGTCAAGCCTGAAATATAAAGTGTGTGGGCGTAGATCTCAAACACACGAACATATGACATCTCAACAATTATTCATATATGTGCTCAGTCTGTAATCAAGGGAATTGGGGTGAAAGTTGCGCTTCCATGAAGCTCACAGCCATACAAATTAACTTGAATATGAGAATGAAATTTCACCCAACTGGTAACCCGGAGCTATCATACTGAAGGTTCTACGGGAGAGGGGGAATTTCACTCTCAAGCTCGCACAAAAATCATCTTTCTATATTCAGTCACCCGACTGACTTCTTAATGAGTGTTCAATACATCAAAAATGCCTTCCACAAATTCCCTATGCAATGCCCTACTGGTTAGTTGGTTGGCTTTTAGAGTTCAGATATGACTGACTCAACATTGCCTTCCAAAATCCGAATCTCTTAATTTATGCTGAGGTGGTGTGCAGACCAATTGCAAGCTGATTTCAGAGTGATGAATTTCTTTCTGCCCTTTCGATTCTGGATGGTTTTGACATACTGTTGTGTGCTTTTGCACACTAAAGAGGATGCTTAAATGATGCTTCCTAGGAAAGTGAACAGAGTGACATTCTTCAAATTTCAGATAACAGTCATAATACCGCTTAGATTACTAGTTCGCTGCTTTTTTAGCCAATCTCAAACCTAGTGAAAGACGGTGAGAATGGCGTGGAGGAAGCAACTCTACTCGGAAAACAACCAAACTGCTACATATTCGGCAATCCACAATACTCCACACTTTACTTCCAAGACCACACTTCAGATTTCGTTGAAGGTCATGTGTGATCGGTCGTCTGACACTTCGAAAGTTACTCCCATTTCTCGCTGATATAACACATGTCTTTGTATTGAATAGGACTATAATCACGCGTCAGAACATCCCACAGAATGATCATCAGATTTCAAGTGATCATATAAGTTTAGTAAAGGTAGGTAACCACTCACCTAACAAAGGAGAAACGCTCACTACTGTTTGACTACTTTGCTTTAATGTTATAAGAATGAAATCAGATGATTGCATATTACGCAATGTACAGGAAGCCACTGTTATTCCAACAGCGAAATTCTCCCTCGTCTCACTCATTTCATTTGAAAATGCCTTTTCTCAGGCACTCTGAAAGTACTTTTGTTTCTTCAACTTCCGCACCTGAAATGCTTCACTTATTCCACATATGCAAGAAGAAAGCCTTCAGTAATTTCAGTGGAGTTACAACATCTTGTGTCACAGTGACTACCAATGTACTTCATCATTTGACTTGTACGCAAGTGGTAGCACTCAGTGAAATGAAGAGAATTGTTGTTGCCGTGAGTACATCGATTATCTTCCTTTCCTCCAGCTAATTTGTCTTCACGTGAAAACATGCTTTCTCTGCTCCTTCTCTTCCCAGATCGCCATTTTTCGTCTGAGATTAAGTTTTGCCATCTAGGACACCATTCTCATAAAAATATATAATCAAAGAGGAAAAACATTGACATTCACTTTGAAGTAATTTGAAATGAATGACAATGAGTGACTTTCACAATTAGTTTTTGATTCCGAGTGACGCAAACGGCTTCAACAGTACCGCTCAACTTTGTCCTATTTGCGGGTGTTCCTTCAGCTATAGCATTACTAGTGCTCATAATCTCTCATCGCCTCCAACTCGTTCCATCTGCTTCGTGTCATCATTACACTCATGCACCACTCGTCATTTACAAGTCTCAGTGCACTCAAGCAATGGCTTGGCACAAATGTAACTTCATGACTTCGTGCATGAAATGGATTCTTGAATGCAACTAGTTGTGTATATTTCAAACAAGCCGACACTTTGGAAAGAAATTCGCCGACTGCGTGTTGGATGCGAATCAACTTGACTGTGCAATAAGTGAAATTCACAAGTCAATTCTACGAAGTTTGACGAGGTGAATTTCAAAAGAATACCTTTCGGAAACCGACATTATTCACAATGAAATATGTGGTCTGGTAGACGCCATGAATAGTAATCGAAAACGCAAGGATACATGCATGACAAAGTTCGCTATTAACTGACTGACTGGTATGAGTATCTGAATGCCACACGCACACACAAACGCACATCGAACAGTAGTGCTCGCCACCTAACCAGCAAGATTGACGCCGTTTCGCTCATCACAACCGTATTCAGTCGAACTCGACTCAGTTAAAGCAGTAAACTCAAACAAACAAACAGCTGCATTTATTAGCGTTCCGATCCGAGACAAACCTGGGATTCAAGTGATGAGATCGGCTGCAAAGAAGCGAAACGTCCATCTGTGCATCACATCTCTGGCTGGT